GCAGGAGGCGGCGCGCCGCATCTTCTACGACGGCATCATGGAGCGCATCCCCAACACGGCGTTCCGCGGCCTGCGGCAGCACCCGCGCACGCAGCTGCTCTACGCCCTGCTAGCCGGTCAGTGGGGCGGCGCGGCGGCCTCGTCCTGCCGCAGTCCCCTCCTGCGGGGCCCTCCGGGGACGCTCGTGCGGGGACACCCCTCCCCCTCCCCTGGCCAGACCCCCGTCCGGAGCCCGGTGCCCCACTGTCGCGCCGCGAAGGCGGACCCACGCCCGCGTCTCGGCTGTCCGGCCGCCGCGGGGCCGCCTGGCCGCTCCTGCCCGCGGCTTGGGGCGTGGGAACCGGCGCTGGGCGCTGAGGGGGTTGCGCGGCAGGGGTTCCCGCCCCTCTCCGCCGGCCCCCTCCCGGGCCCCCCGAGCGGGGGTGGGGTGACAGGGCAGGTAGGGCCCGCGGCAGGCTGCGCGCCGGGTGCGGGGAGCTATATATAATCGGCGGGCGGGGGAGGCTGCCTCGGCAGTTCCAAGTGCTAATTTATGAGGGGCAGCCAGCCAGCTCCGGGGTGCCAGGGGAGGGTGCGCGCAGGGGCGGCAGAGCGGGGACAGCGAAGGTGGGCTCTTGGCACTGGGGGGGGGGCCCGTCTCGCCTTGACTCCCGGCTAGGGTTGGTCTCCCATTTTCCAGATGAGCTCGAGTGGGGGCGTTGCGACTCTCCCAAGGTCACGCAGCAGAAGCGCCTCTCACCCAGGCGCCGCCCGCCGCCCTGTCTGCAGCCTAAGTGTGGCCCAGGGTCCCCGCGCCCCTGGCCGCCCGCGGCGCTCACGGGTGCCTGGGTGATGGCCACGGCTGGCGCTGGGAAGGACGTGGGCCTGGGGGCCAGGTGACCTGCAGGGTTGAAGAATGGTCTGGGCCCTTAATCAGGGGCCAGGCCACAGGGGCGGTGGGCACAGACCCCCAGGGGCCCGGCTGTCTGGGCTGCTAGTGAGAGCACCTGCTCAGAGGCCGAGTTCGGGGAGTCCTGGGGTCTGTCCTGTTTAGGAAGGCTCCTTTGCCGTGGCAGGAGGTTTGGAAGGCAGGGACACGAGCCACTGACCCCCAGGGCAGCCGGAGCTCCTTCCTCCTGCTGTCCCCAGGCCGAGAGGGTGCCCTGACCAGGGCAGGGCCGCTCACCCACCCCTCTGCCTGCAGCCGTCTGCTTCGCGGTGACCCGGTCCCTGCTGCTGACCTGCCTGGTACCGGCCGGGCTGCTGGGCCTGCGCTACTACTACAGCCGGAAGGTGATCCTGGCCTACCTCGAGTGCGCGCTGCACACGGACATGGCCGATATAGAGCAGTACTACATGAAGCCGCCTGGTGAGTGAGGCCGCGGCCAGCCTCCCCCTGCCCCTCAACGCACCCGGGAGTTCCAGCCTCCTCGGGGACCCAGAGCCCCCCATTGTGGCCTCAGGCGGAAGGGGGCACCAGGCTGCCTGGGTGACTCAGGACTTCGGCCAGGGCTGGCTGGTGGTGGGCCGGCTTCTCGGCCAGGAAGATGGGGTTCTTGGTGCTGCGACAGTTCTGTCCCTCTGCTGTCCTCTTGCTGGGGAGGTACCGTGTGGCCTGCGCAAGTCTTGCTTTGGTCCATTTACTGCCTCTTGCCGAGGGACCAGCAGGGGTCTGGCTGCTGGGCTGGGCAAGCAGGGTGGACTTCACTTGAGTTTTGGGCTGGTGTGGAGCACCAGGGGTGAAGGACGGCAGGGGACTTGGGTGAGGGCCAGGTGACATGGAGGGGGATGGAGGAACCCTGGGTGGAGGACGGTAGGAAATTTGGTTTGAGGGTAGGAGACATGGGCTTGGATCAGGGGAACTGGGAGCAGGGGACCTGGGCTGGGAGCAGGGGACCTGGGAGCAGGGGACACAGGGCTGGGAGCAGGGGACCTGGGAGCAGGGGACCTAGGAGCAGGGGACCTGGGAGCAGGGGACACAGACTGGGTGCAGGGGACACGGGCTGGGAGCAGGAGACCTGGGACTTGGGGACAGCAGCTTGGGCTTCAGCCTCAGCCTCTGCCCTGGTCTTGGGACCTCCTCCTGTGTTCACATGTCCAGGAGTGGCTGGCACCTGGGTGGCTCCAAGCCAGGACCCCGTAGCTCCTCAGCCACGGGTGTGTGTGGGGGGGTCAGTGATAGTCTCTGGGTGTGAGGGTCCCCCAGCTGCAGGAGTGAGGACACAGGGTGAGTCAGAAGGGGCACTGCTGGCCGGTCTTAGCTGACCCAGCTGTCCTTCTGCCTTGGCCACCACTGGCCTGGGGCATTCCCTTTCTCCCTGACGCTTCCTCAGACACAGACAGGGAATCTTACTATCACCTTGGGAAGCAGGAGAAGGGTGCATGGGGCCATAGGGTCCACCCACTGCTGTGCCCAGGCCACAGGAGTAGAGGATACAGCAGGAGTGCAGGGGGACATGGGGGCTCTGCCCTTGCTCTGTCTCCAGATGGATGGGTTGGTGGTACAGGAGGTGTGTGGGATGTGCCTAGTTCTGTGGATGCCATCTCTGTGGATGGATGGGTTGGGGGTGTGGAGGAGCATGGCGGCCGTGGGCTAGCTCTGTGGACGGTTTGCCCTAGCTTGTTGGCCACCGTCTCCCGGGATGGATGGATGGGGGATCCCAGGCTGGTGTGGGGGCCCTGCCGTAGCTCTGTAGACACTGTCTTCCCAGATCAATGGATGGGGGGTGATCCTGGGCTGGTGTGAGCGCCCCGCCCTAGTTCTGTGGACGCTGTCTCCTTGGATGGATGGATGGATGGGGGTGTCTTCCCGTTCTGGAGTGGAGGCTCTGCCCTAGCTCTGTAGACACCTTCTTCTCAGATCGATGTAAGTGGGGGTGATCCCGGGCTGGACTGGGAGCCCTGCCCTAGTTCTGTGGACGCCGTCTCCTTGGATGGATGGATGGATGTGGGGGTGATCCCAGGCTGGCGTGGGGGCCCTGTCCTAGCTCTGTAAATACTGTCTTCCTGGATGGATGGATGGATGTGGGGGTGATCCCAGGCTGGCGTGGGGGCCCTGTCCTAGCTCTGTAAATACTGTCTTCCCGGATGGATGGACGGATGGACGGACGGATGGATGTGGGGGTGATCCCAGGCTGGTGTGGGGGCCCTGCCCTAGCTCTGTAAATACTGTCTTCCCGGATGGATGGACGGATGGACGGACGGATGGATGGGTGGTGGATGGATGTGGGGGTGATCCCGGGCTGGCGTGGGGGCTTTCCCTAGCTCTGGGAACTCCATCTCCCCGGATGATGGGCGGATAGGGGTTGGAGTAGCCATCTCCCAGGATGGCTGACTCGTTTTCAGGAAGTGGTAGTGAAGCAGGAATCTGCTGGATTCCTGGAGACTGGTTATTGAAACAGGAGACAGAGGACTGTGGAAGGCATGGTAACTCCCCAAGGTCACATGTGAGGGTTTGGGACGCTGAACAGGCTCCTAGGAGGGGACAGATGTGGGGTTCCTGGGTCTGCCTCAAAGGTGGAGACTTGGGTGGAGAGGTGGGCAGCAGAGAGCCCTCCACATCCCTCGAGCTGGAACCGAGGTGGACGCACCATGGGACGTGGTGTGGTCACTGTGGCCTGTTCTCTGCTGCATGGGGCCGAGGGTGGCACTAGGGGTCAGGTCTTGGGGTGTGGTGGTGAAAACAAATCCTGGAACTGAGGGGTGGGTTCATCGGACGAGGTTGTGGAGGCCCCTAGAGTTGTGACAGAGCCTCAACAGGGAGGCAACACCCCAGAACAGATGGGGTACAGAGGATTGTGGACAAGTGGGGAGCAGGTGGGGGGACAGATGGGGGTACAGAAGGGTTATGGACAAGTGGGGCACAGACGGGGGGACAGGTGAGGGTACAGAAGGGTTGTGGATAAGTGGAGAGCAGATGTGGACAGATGAGGGGACCAAGGGGTTGGCCAGAGGGGCTGCTGAGGGGGAAGCCGAGGGGGTGGCGGAGTGGGGGGCAAGGCGTGGATGCAGGGTCCTTTTGCAGGATCCATCTTGGGGTTGGGCAGGGGGACTGCAGTTACATGTGGCTGCTGGGCAGAGTGGTCCTGGTGTCACTTTGATGGCCCTCCTGTCACTATTCCCAGAGGTGACCAGCTGTCCCCGAGGCCTCGCTGCGTCTCGTCTCCCTGGCCTGGCCTTCCTTCCCTAACCCCCCCTCGATCCTCTCCTGGCCCTGCACCCTTGCCCAGCAGCAGGGCTGTGATTGGACCGAGTAGGGGTGGGGAGGCTGGCCTGACCACTGGGCTTACTGCCCAGTGAGGCCGGGGTCAATGAGGGAGGGCTGTGAGGGCTCCATGTGTCCTGACTGGGGCCCCAGCGGGAGGGAAGGAAGCTGAGCCTCGTTATGGCTGTTTGTCTTGAGGATGTCTGTCTGGAAGTGTCCATCCTCTGGTTTGTCTGTCCTGATGCCTCCTGTCCAAGACTGTCCATGCTTAGGTCATGTGTCCTGAGGACGTCTGTCCCGATGCTGGTGCCCTGAGTTTGACTGTCCCAACACTGTCCATCCTGAGGTCATGGGTCCTGTATGTCCTGAGGCTTTTGTCCTGTGGACTGTCTGTCCTGACCCTGCATTTGGGTTTCTGAGTCTTGCTCCAAACTTGCCCTGGTCCTTTTGGGTGCTGGGGACAGACTTGGTCATCCTCTCTGTCCTCACACAAATTACGGGGCTTCCAGCCAGGTCCCCAGTCCTGTGCAAGGGACAGCTGACAGCCCAAAGGCCTTGCCTACCTGGGCTCTGAGACCCTGAGGACAGCTTGGCCTGACCCCAGCACCCCCACTCCAAAACTCACTTCTAGTGTTCTCCCTGCACCCCGTCTCTCTGCTCCCCCCTTATTTGACATGCATGGATGAGGGCGTGTGGGTCTCTGGGCGGCCCTGGACGCCTTTGGTTGTACAGGTGGTGTGGCTGGGACCTGGGGCACTGAGCCCTGCCCAGCTCTTGGTCCTGGGGGTTGGGCTCTGGCCTCCTGCCTGGCCTTGGGGTTTGAGGAGTCTTGGGACCTGGGGCATCCCCGAGTGTGCTTCACAGTTTGTGTGTGTTCACCTAGCTTCAGTAACAAGGAGACTGAGGTCCAGAGTGGCCCAGGCAGGTCAGAGCCAGAAGCTCTTGGCACGTCTCTGTGGGGCCACCACAGGAAGGGCTAAATGGCCCTGGGTGGAAGAGCTGGACAGCGCCGGGGTGGGGGCGGGTTTGGACCTGAGCTGCCTTGCTTCGTCTCTGCCCATGTCCATCCGCGTTCACTGCCGGTCCCGGCTGCCTGGCCAGCGTCCGGGGCCCCTTCTTGGGCTCCAGGGGACAGTGGCAGATCTGGTCAGGGGATCGGCCAGGGTCGTCTGTCCATGGGACCCCAGAGGGAAGAGCCGCTGGCCCGCCCCGTCCAGTGGAGGAGGTGTTGGGCTTGGGGAGCAGGCCCTCTGACCGCTCTGTCCCCCGCAGGCTCCTGCTTCTGGGTGGCCGTGCTGGACGGCAACGTGGTGGGCATTGTGGCCGCGCGGGGCCACGAGGAGGACAACACGGTGGAGCTGCTGCGCATGTCCGTGGACTCCCGCTTCCGTGGCAAGGGCATCGCCAAGGCGCTGGGCCGCAAGGTGTTGGAGTTCGCCCTGCTGCACAACTACTCTGCGGTGGTGCTGGGCACAACGGCCGTCAAGGTGGCCGCCCACAAGCTCTACGAGTCGCTGGGCTTCAGACACATGGGCGCGAGTGACCGCTACGTGCTGCCCGGCATGACCCACTCGCTGGCCGAGCGCCTCTTCTTCCAGGTCCGCTACCACCGCTACCGCCTGCAGCTGCGCGAAGAGTGACCGCCGCTGCCCCCGCCCGCTGCCCGGCCGCCCACCTCCCCACGTCCACCCGCCCGCCGCCCGCCTGGCCCCGCTTCAGACGCTCCTTTCTCCACGCCACACGGTTCGCTGGCCGGTTCTGGGTGCAGGGCTGCTGCCCGGCCGGGACACGCCTTGGTGGGGGTGCTTGTCTGCAGCCATGGCCCCCGCCTTTCCCGCCCACTGGGCCGGCCCCCTAGACCCTGATGAGGGCCAGCATGGTCTCCACGGGTTGTGCTGCCCACCCAGGCCCTCTCAGGCCCCTGCCGTCCGGGCCAGGCCCAGGCGTTGTCCACTAAGCACAGGACCTTGGCCACCGTCCCTCCAGTCGAGCAGGCTCCTCGCCCCCAGCCCAGGCCATCTGGGCTTGTCCACCACCACGAGGGTCAGCTGGACCGGGGGCCTGCTTTGCTCTGTGCCTGCTCAGGATGTGATCTGACCACCGCACGCCTGCATGCTACAGCCCCACCAGCCGCTCAACCCACGCCGGAGCCCGAGACCCGGCCAGGAGCGCCTGGCTGAGCCGGGAGTGCGGAGGGTGGGCCCTGCTCCCTTGCCAGGCTGCCCCTGCCCTGCCGGCCCTGCCCTGGCCTTGTTGGCTTTGCGCTGATCTCTCACTTAACCCCCCTTTCCTTTGCTCCGCCCCTCCCCTGCCTGGGCCTGGCTGATTGGCCTCAGCGTGTAGGTGTGGTTCCCATAGCAACCCTGCACCACCAGATCTGGCCCCTTGTGGGGACCCCTCCTCGCACTGCTCGTGTGCCCCCCACCCCCCGCTGTCCTGAGCTCCCGCTGCCCGGCCGCTAGGCTGGCCTGTGTCCTTCCTAACCCAGCTTCTCCTGGCCGCATCCAGTCCATTTTTTAATAATTATTTAGCCAGAATTGCAGCTCTGCATGATTACTCGGGACAAAACGGTAGCTTGAACCTTAAGACACACACACCTCTGAGTGGAGGAGGCACGCACGCTCTTCCCGCCCAGTCCTGTTGGCTGGGTGGCCTGGAGGGAGACCCAGAGTGAGCATCTTTCCCCAAAGGCATCTGGTTTCTGAGCAGTGGGGGCGTCCCTCTCCTGTCCGGGTGCAGGGGTCTGGGGGCAGCGTGGATGTGGCTGCCTTAGGGGACGAGGGACTCTTGCTCTGCTAGGCCCGGGCCCTGACTGTGTTCCCCAGGTCCCTGAGGCCTGGTGCAGTCTAGGGATGGGTGGGGAGGGGACAAGCAAGTGACCATTGGCAGCGCCGATGAGTCCAGCTGTGTGCTTGGGCAAAGGGACACAAGGGCCACTGAGGCCCCCTTCTGTGGGGCCTCAGGAGGACGAGAGACGGCAGGCCACAAGCTGGCCCCCAGCGCCCAGGCTTGGCACAGGCCCGAGAGGCCTCTCTGTTCTTCAGGAGGGCTTCTGAAGGGAGTGGAGTGGCCGAGCTTGGCCGGTCTCCCAAGGGGCTTTGTTCTGGGCCCCCCGGGATGTTTGCAGAACCCTGTACAGACCCCTCCCCTGTACATTTCCCCCGGTGGTGCCCAGTCCCCGCGCGGGACGGGGGTTTTGTAGACTGTACAGAAATCGGCACCCTATTTTCTTGCAGTTCTCAGATTTTGCTAATCTGGATTATACAGACAGACGCAAAGTGTTTTAGCAAAATGGAAAACTAAACAGTCTGTGCCTTTTCTCCTCTTTCTGTTGGGTTTTGGTTTTACCCAGGCTGGCCTTGGTGGTTTTGGTGTGCTGGGGGGCTGGCTGGTTGGGAGGACTGGCTTGGGGGAGCGACGGTGAGGCAGGGGCTGGAGGGGCGTTCTCGTCCAGGGGACACTGTGCCCTGAGAGGGCAGGTGGAATGCTGTCAGCTTCCTTTGATCCTGTGCCTTTGAAGCTTCTGGGATGCTGGGGGTGGGGCACGTGGGAGGGGTCCCCAGAGTCCACTGAGGTGTGCAGAACCTGGGGCTGGGACTGAACACTGCAGGTCACAGTGGGCACCCCAGGACCCTGCTGCTGGGGCTGGGCGCCCTGGGCTCTGCTCGTCTGCCCCCAGCCGTGGGACTGCAGGGGGCGGGCTCTGTCCGGCCTCCTGCTGCCGCCTGGTCAGGTGGTGGCAGGGCGCCTGCTAGGACTGTTGGTCTGTCTGCTGCCCAGGACGTGATGGGTGTCTATGTGCTCAGAGCTCCTGGCCAGCTGGGGCTCTGCTCTGGTCCAGTGGCACTCTGTTGCCTAGCTCCAAGAGGTCAGTGGGCTCAGCAGGCTGGGTTCCCGCTGTGCCTTGGTCAGGAGCCTAACCAAGCCTGCTCCATGGCCCCTTGGACCCACTGGAAGCTAACCTGTCCCCTGTCCAGTTGGTCCTACCTTGAGCTGAAACCTGAGCGAGGTGTGGAGAAGTCCTGTGTCCGCTGTACTACCTCTGTGTCCTCCCCGGGCCTGGCCAGTGAGGCGGTGGCTGAGCCTCCTTCTCGCCAAGCTCCCTGCCTTTGGGGCTCCACTCCTGCCCTGCCACCTCTCGGACACTCCCTAGTGGTCAGTACCCAGCTTTGGTGCTTGGAGAGGCCTGGGGAGGCTCTGGGACTCAGGGAAGCAGCTGATTGGTTGGGGAGTCAGGTTGTCAAATGACCTGTGGCTGTGGGCAGTGGGGACCTGACAGGGAGGGCCAGGTCGCTGTGGGGCCCCAGTGCCGCTGGTCAGCTGACACTTGGTGCCATGAGGTCCTGGCCACAGGATTGGACACCATCCTGCTTCCCACGTGAGGGTCTTGGGGTGGCTGAACCCTCTGGGTGGTCAGAGGCTGTGCAGCTTTATGTGGCTGAGGCTAGCCTGGGGACAGCGGCCACTGTGGCTTCATCTTCCACTGTCCTCCCACTCTAGAGTCACTGGCATTGCTCTGGGCTGGGGCGTGAGATCCCGCCCGTCCTGGGTGCGGTAGTGGAGCTGAGGTCTGGGAGCCTGGAGCCCCCCTCCCTGGGAGAGCGGCCGTGAGCAGTGGCTCCGGCTGAGGCTCGTTGGGCAGTGGACCGGCGGCCAGCTGCAGAGCTGAGCAGGCCTGTCCTTCCTGGGTGAGGACCCCAGGTTGGGGACAGATAACCCTTTTCTTGTAGGAGGAGGGATAGGGCAGCCCTAGCTCAGAGAGGTAGGGGCCCCCCTGAATTGAGCTCTCCTGGGCATCCTGCAGGACTCGGACATTCTCTGGGACTTATGGGCTCTGTTACTGGGCACGGTGATGGCCCTCTAGCCCTTGTGGGTCCCTGTCTGTTTTGACATCACTGCCCACCACACTTGGCCCCTTCAGGTCCCTGCCAGCCCTGAGACCCCTGCCCTCCTCTTCTGTGGTCCCTACTTCTGTGGCCCCTGCCTGAACCTAGCTGACCTCTCTCTGCTCCAGGTGACCCTATGCCCCTGCCCTCTCCAGGTGGCCCGTCAGTGTGGCCTCTTCCTGTCCTAGGTGACCTGAGCTCCCACCAGAGCTGACTGTGCTGGTTTCACTGGGGCCTCTCAGGTGGGGGAGGCAGGGCCAGTGCCGTGGTGCCCATTGGTGCATGGTGCAGCTGTGCCCTGCCCGCGATGGGGCGGTGTGTCCACCTGGGACTCTCCTGTGCTGCTGGCTGTCACTCCCAGGCTCCGAGTTAGATGGTCGGTACTGGCTGCGCTCTGGCCGAGCCCCTGGGGGTGTGGGTGCCAAGTGGCCTGCTCCCAGCAGCACTGGGGATGCCCTTAGGGGACGGCCCTGGAGCATGAGCCCTTGCGTGGACACTGCTGGGTGTTGGCTATCTTTAACAGCAATAACTAACCATTTTAAAGATGTTTGTGTGCAGATGTATTTTTGCACACAGACGCACAAGTGTACACGTTCACACGTGTGTGTAAGTGGTTCAGTGCATGTGTACAAGGACATGTACATGCGTGCATGTGTGTACATGCTTGCACACGTGTACGTGAGTACATTGGCACGTGTGTGTGCGATGTCGTGCCAAGGGACCTGGTCGCAGGGCAGGGGGGTCCAGGCACAGGCTGGCTGGCTCAGGCCTCTGACCTGCGTCCCTACTTGTCGCCCCCAGGACGTGCCTCTGTCCCCTTCTGCCACACCTCCCGCCAGCCTTGCTTGGGGCTCCAGGTGGGAAGCGTGAGTGTCCTGGCTCTTCTAGGTGGGGGGTAGGGGCGCTGGCCGCACAGCTGAAGCCATGGAGGAGGGGTGAGGCCAGGAACTGAGAGCAGGGCCCTCACGTCCTCTTGGCAGGCACAGGCCCCGGGGTCTCTGGGATCTTGGGGATCCCTTGGAGACAGGGCTGTTGGGCTGAGATCTTTGAATGGGGGCTGCGGCCAGTTCTGGTCATTTGACTGGGTGGGGGTGGCGGGCCTCAGCTGGTCCGTGAGGATGGAGCCAGAGAAGGCTAGGGGTGGGCACCCCTTTGGTTTGCACCTGAAGTGAACTCTGAGACCAGCACTGTAGCGACTGTCTTCATGCCCAGGATGTGCCACAAAGCCCCGGGGCCTGGCGTTCTGGGAAGCCGGCCTGGATGTGTGACCCTGCCTGCATGGCCCCCACGCTGCTGTTTTTCAATAAAACCGGAGTTGAAGGATCTGGGTCCTTGTGCTTTTTGAGGGCCGTGAAACAGGCCAGGTTCTGTCCCACTCTGTGGTATTACTGGGCAGGTGGGATGTTGGGGTGTCACGTGGAGCCCATAAGCCAGGCTGGGCTCTGTTCCCTTTGTGGTGATGGTGGGGTGGGGTGTCAGGGCATACCACCTGGGACCCCAGGAGCCAGGCTGGTCCTGTCCCTTCTGCGGTACTGGATGGGTGGGGCGTCATGGGGCCCCAGGAGCCAGACTGGGCTCTGTCCCTTATGTGATCCCAACTGTTGGGATGTTATGGGACCCTACAAGCCAAGCTGGACTCTGTCCCCCATGATACCAGGATAAGGTAGGGTGTCTGGGAAGGTATCTGGGCATTTGGTGCTGTCCTCAGAGGAGCTCGAGGCCAAGAGTGAGTACAGCTGTAGGCAGAGGTTCTGCCTGGCGACCTCTTCCCCTTGCGGTGTGTGGGGTAAGGTGTGTCTGCCCGCCCCTGTCCCCTACTCTGTACTAGGGCCTTGGTACAGCCATAATAGCTTGGCCTGGAGGAGCCCCTTCCGGGCCCCTGGCTTACTGGTGCCCTGGCTGGGGGATCCTGGACCCTGTCCTGGTTGCCCAGGTCCCCCTGCCTGGTGATTTGTGCCCAGCCTGTGCCCTGGCTCCCAGCCTGCACCCTTGTGGTGCCCTCTGCCCTGCTTCCTCTGCACCCCAGGGGCCCCTGGGCCCCTGGCCTCTCTTCTCACGTGCCTGGAGAGGTCTCTGTTGCAGGAGGGAGTGTGTTGAGGTGGGCATCTGAGACGGACCTGCGGGCTCTACTCGCTCTTGACAGAGTGGGGTGACCACGGCTTGGGAGGGGAGGGAGGATGAACTCTGCCTCTGGGGGCCCCTCTGTTCTCCCCACCAGTGGCCTGAAACCTCACTGGGACTCCTCCAGCAAACCGCCTTGGACACAAGCAAGCTCTGTCCCTGCCCTGCAGTGGACGAAGGCTGGCGGCCCCCAGCACTGACCCTTGGGCGGGAGCACTAGGCCTTTGGGCCTCGGCCTCTTCAGCTCTGTGCTTAGTGGACCAGGGACAGGAGGTGGGTCTGGGCGGTTCTAGGATGGGAAGTGTGGGTCCAGGAGCCGGGGCAGGAAACGGATCGGAATGAATACTGTCGAGGGCTGCCAGGGTTCTGCTGCCAGAGGGACAGGGAATCCTCCATATCCCAGCCGGCAAGGTTCCTCACAGGAAGGGTCCCGGGGGTGTCTGTTCTCAGCACCCCGCCCAGTCCGTCCCTGTGACATCCACTCATCCTCCCTGACAGGCCCTGGACTCCCAGCTCCCACCTCCTCGGTGGGTGGACACCTGCCTGGCTGCCCTAGCTGAGTCCCCACCGGCCTTGTCCCCAGGGCTACTCAATAGCTGCTCCGTGTCCCTGGGACACACACACACACACACACACACACACACACCCCAGATACGCACACGTGTGCCAACACCACCCGTGCACTTACACACCTAGGTGCATGCGCACACACCCACACACACGTAACACGCACAACTCAGATGTGTGCATGTGCAGCACCTCCTCATGCACATACACACCTAGGTACACACATGCATACATATTTATGCTCAAACACAGCCATCCTGTACATGCGTGCATAACCCAAATGGGGGCACGTACACACATGACTGCATATCTGCACACATCTGTGTACTGAACACACTCAGGCACGCACACACCTATGCACATACACACCTATGCATGCAGGCTTTTGCACACACAAGTACACACCTGCATGCACGTGGCTGGCTATACTCACACTCAGGCACACGCCCAAACACATACATTAAGACCTGTGGACATAACTGTGGTCACAGGCGCACAGGTGCACAGCTGTGCACCCCCCATGCTCATACATTCACGTCCATGCGCACACGGCAGGCACACCCGCGATGCACGCACACATGCCCACACACGCCTATGCACACAGGGCCTTCTCAGCACTGCAGTGACAAGAAGCGGCCAGCAGTGGCTCCTGATGATCTTAGTTCCTGGAGGTGCTGTCATAAAGCAGGCAGACCTGACCTTCCAGAACCCTGCATGTGAAGTGGGCTCCAGCACCCAGTAAGAGTGATCCCCAGTGAGACCCACGCCCAGTAGCCATCACTTCCCCCAGCTTTAGGGGAGCAAGGTGCCTCAGGATAGCTGGCTCTGGGCTGCACTGTCCTCCGCCCCAGGCCAGTGCTTGGCACACACCTGCTCTGCTCGAGGTATGTTGAAAAGTGATAGGCTGGGGGAGCTTCTGATCCCCCCAGAACACCACAGCAAGGCCCCCAACACAATCAGTGGAATGAGCCGGACACCCGGGAAGACAGCATGCATACAGGAGGTGGTGCCTCAAACAGCATTTTAATAAAAAACAAGTGATAGTGTGTCCACCGGATGCAGCTATCATGCCCACCATCTGTGCCACACGGACACTTGGCTGGCCCCTGGAGTCCCACTGACAGGCAGCAAGGGGAGCACACGGCTAGACGGGGTGGGGGGTACAGTTCCTGGGCCCTGGAGGGCTGGGAGCAAGAGTGACCTCTCCCCACAGGTCCCAGGCTGGACCTGTGATGCTGACCTCGCTGCTACCCCAGTGGCCGAGCCTTGTAAAGAAGCCATTCAGACAGGACAATTTGTGTCAAAGCTTTACTGGGTGACGCAGGCCACCCACAGGGCTAACGTCGCCACAGGTCACCCGAGGGTCAGCATCTCAGAGACAGGCTGCCCAAGGGGTCAGCATGGCCACAGACACAGGTCACCTGAGGGGTAAACGTGGCCAGGGACAGACAGGCCACACAGACAGCCTAGCGTGGCTGTACCACCGGCTCCAGGTTGGGCAACACGTGGGGCAGTTCTCTGTGACCTTGGAAAAGCTGCTCCGGGCGGCGGGGGAAACCAGTTCTCGCCTCCCCCTGCCGCCCGCGTCTCCGGGGAAATGAAGGCACGTCATGCCTGGGCCCTTGCCCAGCACTGCCCCAGCTGGTCGGACCGTTGCCTGGAGGCTCAGAGCACTGTGGGGGTGGCTGGGCTGGGCCCAAGGCCTCCTGCAGGGGGGCCAGGCAGCCCCACGTGTGGCCCACACTCAGGTTCACCCTCAGGGGCACCTGCGGGGTGGTCAGAGTTGAGTGGCTGAGACCTGGGTCCCGGAGACCCACATATCTATGGCCCAGCAGCCAGGGCAGACGTGCGCGTGTGCACACGCACACTCTGACACCATGCACACATGGTGTACACGTATGTGACACACACATGCACCCAGGGACATACTTGCCCAGGGACAAATGTGCTCACCACATCCACCCTGTCTTGAGACCTGTGGACAGCCCCTCCTGCCAGGGTTCTGTGCCAGAGGGCAGGCCTGCAGCCTGTGCCCAAAAGATGCCTTGTCCCTCTCCCCTGGACTGCCTCTGAGGGTCCGGGGTGCTAAGCAGTGATGACCAGCGGGTGCTGGGCACAGGAACCTGGGCCAGGCACATGTGGGAGGGCAGGTGTTCGTGGGGCAACATCTTCTACCAAGCCCCCTAAGTGGAAGACTTAAAGGAAGGGGTGCTGGCCAGGGTGGGCTGACCCAGGATGGAGAATCCTGCCTGGTGGGTGAAGCCATACCCACCCCCTGTGGTCTCTCCTTCCCAGGCCCTTCATTCCTTCACGGGAGGAAGGATTGGGGAGTGGTGGGTCTGGGCAGCAGTTCTGGGGTGCAAGGTTGGTCTTGCCTTCTTCTGTGCCCCCTGACCCGTGAGCAGTCTCCCTCCTCACCCCCACCTGGGGAGCTCTGGCTATGGGAGCCGAGCTGGGTGACTCTGAGATTCTGTGCAATCCCTCACCTGCAGCTGCAGTTCCAGGGTCTGGATGTGCTGCAGGGACTCCATGGTGGCCCTCACGAGAGCTGGGGGACAGAGAGGTGGAGTGACCATGTCAGGGGCAGTGGCTGCTGGCCGCACCTTGGCCGTCAGATGACGCACATGCTAACTCTGCTCAGGGCCCCATGTTCTTCCCTGGTGTCCCGTGGCCACCCCACATGTAGCTCTGGCCTGTCCTAGGCTGACCCCAGCTACTACTGGCCTGTCCACTGTCTGGGACAGCCTCCCAGACCCTGCGAGACCCTGCCCCTCCCACACCTCCTCACCTCCCTCACTCCTGACAGTCTCTCACCCCTTTCATACCCCCCAATCTTCTGGCCCTGGTCGACTCCCCACCGGCAGGGCCTGGGAAGCTGCCGGGTGTCTGCAGATTTTCCTGTGGAAGGAGTGATGGTGGGACCGGGATGGCAGGGGTCCTCCCAGTGCTGATGGCATGAGTCGAGTCAGCCTAAATGACCGTGGCCGGGGCAGTGGGGGCTGGGGACAGCCCTGTGTTCCTTGTAATCATCCGCCTGGCCAGGAGTCCCTGGTTCTGGATGCTGCAGAGACTTCAGCCTAGCTGGCCTTGGCTGCCCTGCAGGGAGTGTCCTGTCCATGGCCCTGCCATCCCTGTGCCCTGTCTTCTGGGGAAGCTATCTCTAGTTGAACTGCTGTGAAGAGATCTGCATGGGCTGTGGGGAACAACTGAGCATGTGACCTGCAGCCCAGGGGTCACCAGGACAGATCTGTGTCTGGGTCACTGTCTTCAAATGTGCTGCCGTATGCACTTTCCAGGGCCTGCTAGGAGAGCCAGGGATGGTGGCTATGCCTGTCCAGGTCCCTCTCCTCAGCCCCTGCAGCCGGAAGACCCTGTAGGACACAGCCTGCCTGCACTGCCCTCAGCATCGCCCTCAGCACACCATGTGCCACCTCTTTGGTCACCGAGCAGAAGTGGCTCTGGACTCACCTGCAAACTCGGGGACCTGGGAGTCTTCCACCTCAAATAGGAGCTCATCATGAATCTGGGCCACCAACCTGAAAGACAGGCAGGATGGGGCACCTGTGGGCATCGCAGATCCTGGTATAGAGTCTGGAGATTGTGCTCATCTCTGCTCAGCCTGTGGACATGGCTGGCCTGGGCCACACGACTGTCTTGTGGAGCAGGGATCCAGAGAGTGGCCCAAGGACAAAGGAGGACACAGGTCCTGGTCAAGTGAGAGGTGACGAGGATGCTATGGACAGGCCACTCTGCAGGCTGTGGCCATGAGCCCTGGGTAGTCAGCATGGGCAGAAGAGGCTCCCCTTGGTCTGCAAGGGCCTGGTGGGAGGGCAGAGAGGAAGAGGAGGGCTCTGTGGGGAGGCCCCAGGAAGCAAGGTGGGGGAGCCACATGTTGAAGACCAGTTGAGGGGAGCCCAATGGAAGGGAGGGAATTTTTAAGGTGTCCTTTGTAAATCAATCAAGTAGATGCTCATTTAATACATTTGGGAAGCCCACAAAAATCTAGAGGGTAAAAACTGCCCCTAAGTCCCCATGGCCCCCAGGGGATATGTGGGTGGCCTGGCTAGGCCGGTGCTGGGCACTTCTCCGCATGTACACCTGCCATGTGGTGCCTTTCCCGCAGCCAGCCTTGGCTGGAGCCAGCCTGAGGGACAGCCTCGCAGCCCTGGTCAGTTGAGTGTCTGGGCACATGCTCCCTGCTTGCCTGGCCCCTGGGGCCACCCTCCGCCTTGCTCCTTCAGGGCTCTGTGTCCACACTGAGCTCTGCCCTCAGGGTCAGCCCAGTGATACAGGCTCCCTGAAGCTGGACCACGTGGTGGTGGCTGAGTTTCTGACCTTGTGGCCATCACTCTGGGCTGCTGGTCCTGGCCCCTGCTCCCTGGGCATCCTGGGCAGGGGGCTGGTTCTCAAGCAGTCCCTAGCTGAGCCTATGGAATCCTGGAGAGGGACATGTGGGCATATGTGGGGTGGGGACATTGAGATGCCCACCCACGTGCTGAGGGACCTCCTGACAGGCAGTCAGTGTGTGCGGGGCAGGAGACGGATGCCAGCACAGCCAGGCCACTGGCTCTTCAAGCTTCCGGTTGGCCAGCCCTAGCCGCTTGCAGGCCGAGGGGCAGCGCATCCCATGCACAGGCTTCCTGGGAGGCGGGTCCTGGCCAGTGTCTGGGCTGGGGCAGTGATGTGACCCCCGTGGTGGCTGAGGTCTGTCACAGTGGTGATCCTAGGCCCACTTGGGGGGACATGTGGTGTGGCTTCTCATTGGTCACCAGAGCCTGGAGCCCAGGAGGAGGCCAGCAGGCAGGAGAGATGAATCCATGTGTCCTGTGCTTGCGTGATGCCATCTGACCCCTGGGTGCCCCACCTCTGGGCACTCCCGCTGCTTTTCCCACAGGTGGGAAAGTAGGAAGAGTACAGCATCCACTCTGACTGCTCCAGCCAGTGTAGAGGGCCCCAAAGCCACAGAGAAGGGGGACAGAGCTGTCCAGCCTGGTGCCTAAAACCACACCATGGTGATGACAGCTGTCGCCATGCTACCGCAGGAGACGGGGATCTGGAATTGATGGCAGAGGCCCAGCAGCAGAGACCGATGGTTCTTCCCTTAGGCCATCAGGTCAAGTCCTTGATTGTTGGGTGCGGTGGAGAGAGGGCACTTTTCGGGGCCCCTTGCAGGCAGGGGAACCCCGTTAGGCTACCTGCTCATCTTCCAGGAAGGTGACTTAAGGGGCTGGCAGCAGGGTGGCCATCACTGCTTTTCTATTCTTCTGGAAGGTGTTGTGATGGCCAAAACAACATCTCATTCATGGCACAAAGAGGGGCACACCAGGAGAACTTTGATCCAGGCTTCTCCTCAAGGGAAAGTGAAATGCAAATGACCATCAGGGCCAAGCTTCTACTGGCCATCAGCCTCTGGCCAAGGCCATGGCCCTGCCCGTGGCCGCTGACTGGTGGAGTCTTCACCTTCTCAAACTTCCAACTTCTGGAGGAATTTTTGGCTCCAAGGTGATGAGTTTTCAAACGGGCACTTGTAACTCTGCCTGATTTAGCAGGAACAGTCTTCACACTTCCTGATTCTCACACTGTGAGATTCGGAGCGGCTGCCGTGAGGAGATCCAAGAATAGTTCCGAGTCACCAACACATCACGCTCACAGCGGGGACACAGCCCACCCCTGACCGGAAAGTGGGCCACAGGACACAAGTGCAGGAGGATGGCCCCAAGGGGAACCCAGGAGTCCAGGGGTATTGGAGCCCCTCCCCCAGAGGAGAGGCTGCTGGTGAGGTCACCTACTGACCTCCACAGAGGTCGATGCATGAGGGGTTCATCCTTAGGGTGGAGCATTCCAGAAGCACCCTGTTTCATGCCACCTGCCGGTGCCCTCTACCTCATCTCAGCTACCATCTGGGAGGGGTCACTCTCAATATGGAAGGTGGGTGTGGCCTGGCATCCTGCCGGTGTCTCTACTCCGGGGTCCTGCCTGGGATTAGGGTTCGTCCCTGACCTTTCCCTAGTGGACCTCGTGATGCTGATGGAGTTGTCCTCTGATGACCACCCTTCCTGGACACTGCCCTGAGCCCTTCTGTAGAGCCCAGTCAGGTGCATGGCACTGTCAGGTCCCTGCCGGTCATGCTCACGGCACCCCTGACGGCTGTCTCCTTCCACAGTCCAGGCGTCCAGGGGGCACAGCCCTGGACTCACGGTGTGTGTGGACGAACAGAGGCCGGAGCACTGGCATCCAGCTCAGAGCTGAGGAGCATTGAACCAGCACGCTGAGCTGACAGCCCCTCTGAGTGACCCTGAACCCCGCCGGGCCCCACCTAACCTGCTCTCCTAACTGGTCACCTTAGTTGTCTTGCATATAGGGAGCACAGCCCCCTTTGCCGTCTGTCCACACAATCTCCGTGCCCACAAGGTGGGCTGAGCACCAAGGGATGGCCAAAGACCTGTGCTGTCCCAGCCTTGTCCTGGGGTTTACCAGTGCTGTGTTCCTCACCTCCCTGTCGACCTTCCTCAGTCCTCATAACCCCTGTGCCAGCCCTGTCAGGTCCTGCACACAGTGTCCACCTCTGCTCAGACCCTGTGTCCCCTGGACTGGTCTAGTCACTGTGTGCCCTCCCCAGGGTCACCTTGCCCCTGCTATTCCAGATGGGCTGGACATGCAGACCCCAGCTCAGTGTCATGTGGACCTGGGAGCAGCATCCGTGGACGGCTCTCCACAGGGACACGGCTGGCCTCCGCAGGCTTGCATGTTTCTGCCCTAAGGGGCAGGGCCTCTGCCCACCTCCCAGCATGGATCTCCCCTCATCTTGGAGGGGCAGAGGGAGCCCTGGGTCCTCACAGTGCCCACTCTGGGCCGGCACGTGGGGCACTTCTGGGTCCTGCTGCATAGCCAGGTGGTGGGAGAGGCCGGGCTCTCGCTCTGGGCTCTTGCCAGCTGCTGACACGCACTCTCCCTGCTGTTTCTCACCTGTGGTGCGGGCATAGCGCCAGCCAGCCTGCAGGGGACGGCGCTGGAGGCCAGGGGTCTGTCTGCTCCCCGTGGGCCTGACGTGCAGCCAGCAGCCAGCTCTAAGGGAGGGACTGGCAGGGGGCCTGTGAACTCAGCCGAGCTGCCCTGTGCTCGCAGCCTCTTCCCTTTTCCTCTGGGGGTTGGTGTGCCCCTGCTCCCTCCACCCTTGAAGGCTCCTCAGCTTTCCTTCCCACTCGGGGATGCCTCCATCTCCTCCCAGGAGCCCACCTCTCTCCCCTCTTCAGCCATCTCCCTGCCTCCCCTTTTCACTTGGGGACTCTGTGTCCCCTGCTCTGGCCTGACGTCCTCAGACTCCTCAGACTCAGGACCTCGATGCCCAGTGAGTGGTACTGTCCAACCCCGGCACCACCTTATGGCACAGGGCGGCCAGCTGGTCCTGGGGCTGCCGAGGGTCCTGTGTGCAGGCAGCGACATGAGCTCAGCTGGCATCACCTCCCACCCCCGCCCGTAGCCTTCCCTGCGTCTCTCAGCAGAGCGAATCACGGTGACCACGCAGGGCAATGGTCACTACGCAGCGCACAAGCCCCTGGCCACAGGAGACTGCGCTTTGAAAGGAACTGTGTCCTAGACTGCTGGGCAGGAGGCCCGCCTTGAAGAGTCACAGTGCTGGCCCTGGGCACTTAGAACAAGATGCTGCAGATGGGACAGTGGACATGACAGGGGCAGCCAGGACAGGGCCCCCAGAACCCGCACTGACCCCCAAGCCCTGGACAGGGCGGGTGGCCGAGCATGCTGTGCACTGACCTGGCTGTCAGGGTCGGGGAAGAGGCCACCACAGCGAAGATGTGGATCATGGCCAGCTTGCAGAGGTCAGCAGCCGAGCCTGTGGGGTGAGGAAGGATGTGTGTGAACAGGGCGAGGCTGGGGCCTGCAGTCAGGGCCCACTTGGCCTGCCTCACCTGCCCTGCCAGTGAAGAGACCCTGCCAGAGGGGGGGACCAACCAGCAGAGGGGTCTGGCCTGCCTCACTCAGCTCGGCCAGTGGAAGGACCCTGACAGCAGAGGGAGGGGCCCAGCTAGTAGAGGGGCCTGGCCAGCAGTGAGGTCCTGCCAGTGGTGGGGTCTGGCCAGGGGAGGGGCTTGGCCAGGGGAGGGGCCTGGTCAGTGGAGGGGGGGTGTCCCGGCCAGTGGAGGGGTCCAGCCAGCAGAGGAGGTTGGCCAGTGGAGGGGCCTGGTGAGCAGTGGGGTCCATCCAACATTCCAGACTGGTTCACATGTGGCCTGGAAGCCCACACGCCCTTCCTGGAGCTGCTGTGGTTGGGAGTCCGGTACACTCGCTGGCCCATGGTTTGGTCCATGCGAGGCTGAGTTTAGGGTAATGGCTGACTGAATTCTTATTAGGAACCATGAGGAGAAGACCCTTTTCTAAGTGTCCCCAGGTTGCTGGCAGGATTGTGGCAGTCACTGTGGCCGAATGACCAAGGTCCTTGTTTACTCAGTTGCTCCTGGCTGTGCCCTCCCAGCTCCAAGAGGCCTCCGGCGGGCCCTCCCCACAGGCCCTCTCCCTGCAGGCTGTTGGCCCCCGCAGGGTCAAGAGGGGGGTCTCTGTTGCTGCTTCAGCTCTGGTCCCGACCTCAAAACCTGATTAGATCAGGCCCACCCAGGATCACTTCTCTCCTGATAAACTCGGTCAGCCGAGCCTCAGTTGTGTCTGGAAAGCCTCCCTGCCGTATGGTAACTCTTGATGGCAGGGTGATACCCCGCCAAGCCCACAGGTCTGCCCACACTCTCACACAGCACACCGCGGGGTGGGGCCCGGGGGCTGCCTTGGGGCATGTGTGGCCCTGCTGCCCTGGCCTCTCTCACGCCCCACTCTGGAGGTCCAGCACTGGTAGCAGTGTGGGTGAGGGGGTTTCCTGGGATGAGTGTGAGGTCTGCACTTGTGCAGCTACACTCCTGAGGCCTCGCCCTCCGTGTGTCGGCACAGGATGCTGCATCACCACCATGAATGCAAGGACCACCGGGCACAAGGCCCTTCCCACCGGCCAGGCCACGGACGCCTGTTACCGTGATGGCCAGGGTGGTAGCCGGGCCCAGGGCAGCTGTCTGGAGGTCCACATCGAGCCAGGGGACCACACAGACCGCCTCACGGAGCCGGCTGTGACCCACAGGCACCTGCCTCCTAGCACAGCTGGGCCCATGGGGTGTGCAGTGGCCTTTCTTCCAAGGTGCCCGTGGGTGCGTGTGACCAGCCAGCTCGTCAGTTAACAGCCAGTGTCCACCCAGACACTGCTCTCATCAGTCACCCAGCGGCTCAGCCCAGCCCTGAAGCTTCTGGAAACAGGATAAGAAAAGGGACACAGGCCTGCGGGGAAGGTGCAGGGGCAGCAAGCCGCAGCCGTGTCTCCTGGCCTGGAAGGGGCTTCTGGTACCTTGAACCACGAAGTTCACGGCTTGACGCTCGGCTTGTGCCCGGAGCTGCTGGTTCTTTGCGTGGATCCTTGGCAGGGGTCTCCTCCTGCCCATGATGGACGCGACATACCCTGTGGTTACACGAAGGAGAAGCGAAGTGAGGGCCAGCGCCCTGGAGGAGGGGGACGTGTGTCGTGGGGACTGGCTTCCCTTGGGTGCTGCTCAGAGGCTTGGGTAGATCGCTCCCACCGCAGGGCTGGCCCGAGGGTCTGTGGGGTCTCCTGTTCATGGGTAGTGCCCTGGGCCGGCCTCTGCCTGCCTTCTGGCAGCCTCTGCCCTCTCCTCCACCAGCTGTCTGAGCTGAGAATGACAGAGGGCGTAAACCCTCCAAACCCCGAGACCTACTGCCATCAATTCTGAGCTGTGGACACCCGTGTGACACAGCAGAATCTCTGAGGGGTTCTGTGCTGTAAACACAGCAGAAGTAGACCTCGGGGCCTTTGTGCAAATGGTCAGCTGGCAGGGTTTAACGCCCAGTCTTTACTCTGGCAGATGAACAGAGACCCAGGTTGCTCAGGACGCTGTAGACATTGTCACGGGTGGAACTGGGAATACAGATTCTGTGCCGTGCGGCAGCTGGCGTGGCAGAGACACAGGGATCCCCACCGACGAGGGTGGGGACCCACCTCCCTGCACATCAGGGTGATCTGGGTTGGAGGGGCCCAAGCTCACTCCCTCCTTGGGTCTCTACAGAAATGAACACAGATGAGCAGCCCTGGTTGAACACCTTCCTGACCAGTAAGACCTGAAGCCTCTGGAGATTCTCTGTGTCAAAGGACTGGAAGGATTTACCACAGGAATTATTAGAAAACGGACAACATATTGGGTACCTACTATGTGTACTTGGCTAAGGGGTAGGATCAGGCAGGCTGGGGAGGGTTTTGCAGTTGAACACAGGGTCACTGTGCGTCACAGACACCTGAGGGCATCTAGCAAACCAACCAGGAGCAAGTGGCAGAAAAGAAAGACGTGCATCCGGGTTGTGACCTTTCACCGTACTTACAGAATCTCTGGGTTGAGAAGACAGATTTTTTTTTTAAATTTTTTATTATTTTGTGTGTGTGTACTGTCAAATCACATCTGACTGGTACAGGAGAAGACAGATTATATGAAGAAGGGTGCACTACCAGGCTTGGCGGAAGACCCCGTAACAATCTGCAGTGCCGATGACGCACTCTTGCTTGCTGAGACAGAAGATGGGAGATTTTCAATGGAGAAGTTCAAAGACTAGCTCGGGTGTGGATTACACCTCAAGATAAAGAAGGGGAAACCTTCACCCGCGGACAGGAAGTCACAGTGTAGTAAACGGAGAGAATACGGAAGTTGTTAAGGATCTCATTGTCCCTGTTTCCACAGCCAATGCCCAAGGAGACAAGAGCCAAGAAACCAAATGGAGAAAAAGACAAAGTAAAAAAAAGCCTCTGTGAAGTGTTAAAGATCAATGAGGTCGGAGAGGGATTCTGGTGCAGAACAGTGAACAGACAGCGGCCGGTCAGAGCAATGGCCAGAGCTACGTGGAGGCCCAGCTGAGGACGCTGAGGCTTTGTCTCACACACGCTGGACACACTGTCAGGAGGGACCGATCCCCGGAGAAGGTCATCACGCTTAGGAAAGTGTCTTTGTTGTTATGTCCCTGGAGTGGACTGTGACTCATATGACCCTATGCACAGTAGCTCTCAACCCTGCTCTATGCTGTGCCAATCTCACTGTCTCCGACACACCCACCCTCATTACTCCTGTTATTGTGTCAGTCCAGCTCATCTGGGGTCTTCCTCTCTTGCGCTGTCCCTCCACCCTTCATAGCATGATGTCTTTCTCCAAGCACTGGTCCTTCCTGGCAACATGCCCAAATCATGTGAGACAGAGCTTCAAAATCCTTGCCTCCAAGGAGCAGTTTGGTTTCACCCCCCCCCAGGACAAACCTGTTTGGTCTCTTGACAGTTCATGTTTAAGACTCTTCTCCAGCACCCCACTCAAAAGCATCAATTATTCGTGTTATCTTTGGCCATTGTCTAACTCTCCGATGCAGAGCAAGTTACTGTGAAGACTATGACCTTAATCAAGTGCATCTTAGTCTCCAGACTGACATCATTGCTCCTTAGCACTTTAGAGAAGTCCCTGACAGAGGATTTTCCTAAGGCAACTTGTCTGTTGATTCCCTGACTGCTGGTGCCAAGAGTGTTAACTGTGGAACTGAGCAAGCTGAAATTGTTAACAATCTCACTCTCTTCTCATCTATCACGGTGCTGCCAATTGGCCCGGTGGTGAGAATCTTTGTCTTTTTGCTGTTGAGCTTCAATCCATATTGAAGACTGCAGTCCTTGACCTTCTGCAGCAAATACTTCAGATCCTCCCAGTTTTCGGCAAACAAGGTTGTGTCATCTACATAACGCAGGTTGTTGATGAATCTTCCTCCAATGCTGAGGCTACATTCCTCTTCATAAAGTCCAGCCTCTCAAATGATCTGTTCTACATATAGACTGAAAAGGTAGGAAGACAGAATGTATCTGTGACACAATCCTTTCTTGATTTTGAACCACGTAGTGCTCTGTTCTTAAAACTGCTTCCTAGTCCAAGTACAGGTTTCACATGAGCACAATCAAGGGTTCTGGATTCCCATTCTTCTCCATGTTAGCCACAGTTTGTTGTGGTCCACACAAACACTTTTGCATAGTCAATGAAACACAGGTAGACATTCCTCTGGTGCTCTCTGCTTTCAGCCAAGCTCCCTCTGATAGGCTATGATGTCCCTCGAGCCACAACCTCTTCTAATCCCAGCTTGTCTTTCTGGTGGTTCTCTACTGATGTCTGGTTTCAGTCATTTTTGGATAATCTTCAGTAGAATTTGCTTGCATGTGATATTAGTGACATTGGTTGATAATTTCCACACTCTGTTGGGTCACCTTCTTTTTGCAATGGGAATAACTATGAAACTCTTCCAGTCAGTTGTCCTCCAGATTTCTTGGTGCAACGTGGTGAGCACATCCAGGGCATCACTTGTTCATCGAAATATGTCAACTGTTATGCCGTCAATTCCTGGGGCCTTGTTTCTTTGTCAGCTCCTTCAGAGCAGCTGGGAACTCCTCCTTCACCACCACTGCCTCGTGAACATAAGTTGTTTCTCGAGATTCTTCTGCGTCACCAATTCTTTCTGGCACAGTGACTCTTGTGTACTCCTTCCATCTTCTTTTGATGCTTCCTGGGTCACTCATTGTTGTGCCCACAGCATCCTCAAGGATAGCAACTCGAGGCTTGAATTACAGGATGAAGAAGGAGTGTCTTCACCAAGCTGGACGGACACAGTGTGGGCACCGATGGATGCGAAGGCAGCAGTGCCTGCAGGGGGGTGGGGAGGGGCATGGCGGGGAGGAACCAACCTGACGACAGCGACAGCAGCAGCTCCAGAAAGGACAAGGACGGTCTGTTCTGCTGCCTGAGGACTTTTCATTTTCTGCTTCTTTGCGTGTCTAGTCAGTTTTGACTGGACGCTGGAGATTGCCAATTTAAAGGTGGCAAGTGCTTGATTTTGGTAACTTCCTTTAAGGGCTATTTGGTCACTTGCAAGTCAGCCTCATCTTTTGCGGACACCTTTTAGGCTACCTAGGCTGGACCACAGCAGGCTTTAATCGGTTGTTAGGTCCTCTGAGTATCTCTCTGGGGCGAGTTAGATACGACCGAGCGTCTCCGATGTCCAGTCTGGATGTTCAGATGTCAAGTGTTTGCTGTTCCTCTGTGATCTCTGGGAACGGTTCCGCTTCCTTCTCTCCAGCCATTACCGTGATCATTCCTGTGGAGTGTCACCTACGCTGGAGTGCGCCTCTGTCGTTATGAGGGGCCGTCGAGTCCACTACAACTCACAGCGACCCTACGAACCACAGACCGGCACCCTGTGCTATCCCGCACCACCCTCCCATCTCCGCCATGCTCAACCCCACTGCCAACGTCATCAGGGCAGACCATCTCCTCTCCTCTGACTCTCTGTCTTGCCCTTTTCCCGAGGACTGGCCTTCCTGACCACACGCCCGGATATGTGACATGCCTCCGAGGTGGGTGCCCCTTCCCCAGGCCCGGGCCGCCTGGCTGTTGGTGTCCATGGGATACTCCGTGCTCTTTGCCGGCATCACAGTTCAAAGGCATCGTTTCTTCACTCTTCAGTATTCAACTTTCAGATGCAAACAAAGCCACTGAAAAGACCATGCTTGCATCAGGATGTCTCTAAAATGACATCTTTGGTCTTTAGCATTTCAAAGAAGTCTCTGACAGAAGATTTTTTTTTCTTTAAACAAACTCAAGCTTCAAGTTGTATGTTTGGTGTGTTTTGTTTTTTTAAAAAATTTTATTACTTTTTGTGTGTGTACCGTCAAATCACATCTGACTGGTACAGGAGGAGACTGGCCTGCCTTCTCCGGCAAAGTGGTGTTTTGAACCATGTGCCTCTGGGATTGCAGTGCAGCTTTTTGCCACTAGGCCACCAGAGTTCCTCTTCCTCTGACAGAAGATTTTTCAAATGCAACACATCTTTTGCTTTTCATGACTGCTGCTACCAAAGCCTGTCGATGCAAGTAAAATGAAATGACAACTTCAACCAGGAAGATAAAGCAAAATATTATAACAAAATGTGCAAAGAACTTGAGTCAGAAAGTCAAAAGAGAAGAACTTGCTCAGCATTTCTCAAGCGGAAAGAACTGAAGATCAGACTCAAGCCTCGAGTTGCATTCCTTGCAGGTGCTGTGGGCAGAACAGGGAAGGATCCAGGAAGCATCAAAAGGAGATGGAAGGAGTACGCAGAGTCTCTGTGCCAGAAAGGACTGGCTGACACAGAACCGCTTCATGAAGTAGCATATGATGAAGCAGCCGCGGTAATAAAGCTGCTCTGAAGGAATTGGGGGACAAAAGGCTCCAGGAACTGATGGAATACCAACTGACACATGTCAACAAGTAGATGTTGCCCTCGACATGCTCACCAGGCTGTGCCAAGAAATCAGATGACAGTTACCTGGCCAATAGACGGGGAGATTAGTATTTATTCCTATGCCCTGAAAAGGTGAACAAAAAAGAGAATGGAAACTAT